TTTAAAAACTTTTTGACTGGCGTATTTCAATAAAAATAACGCCGTTTTCATGGACGAACCAAAGTGATTTATTTTCTGCAAACTTGATGCTTGCAATCTAACCTGATGCTCAAGCTCACCTTGCAGCCGTAGCAGTCAGCCCACATTGCTTCAACTGTGGGCATATCTCTATCTTCGTCATTGTATACAGTAAGTGCAGTACCTACATGCCGAATGCACAATATGTGATACAATTCGCATTACAGACTTGGTAAATATGTAATCGGAACAGGATTAACTACCATGCCTGTCCTCGTCTTGCTCTTGACCGGGCATGCGTTATGAAAATGTCCCGCAACGACTCACAGTGACATCTAGCTTATTTTCACAAACTGCTATCAGTCTCACTGATCATTGTAAAGTAATGGTCCACCAATCCAGCTGACCCTCGGGGCAAGTGTCACTGGACGAAGTGGGGAGCTGGAAGTGGGTCGAATTTCGTCCCTGGGGTGAGGAGTGAAGTTGAAGTAGAAGTCCACGCTGTTAGATCCTGGAGGGCTTCTGATGCAGGATTTGAGTTACTTCGTGAGTTCACGTGTTTAATTGTGGACGTGTGGATCGTTCCATGTGTTACGTAAGACGTCACAATGTGCGTTTATTATTTTCTAAAAATTACTGCAGTCACATTAACGAAACTTGAATACTTGGAATTCCGATCATTGACATCAATTCCAAGAGAGTCGATCATCAGGTTATAAAAAATTCCAAAATCTGGAGATTTCCTACGATGTGAATGAACGAATGCGTGAGATTTTTGTTCTATTTTCATTTTGTAAAATTTTCCTGGTGAACTTCGTGAAAATGTTTTGGAATTCGTGTTCCAGGATGCTCTTGGCAGGATGTGTTGCTCAGTGCTTGTTAGTATTCATGTGTATCTTTATTTTCATTAATGTGCATAGATATGTGGAAAGCGTGCATATCACCTAGTTCGTAGAAGATAATGCGGTCCCATGGCCGGGAAGACACTTTTGTGCCCATGGTTTCCGAGGCACGTCGGCGTGTGTTCGTATGCAACCGCAGCAGCTGTAGAACAGTCGTACTACCAATTGCTCGGGGTCAGTAAAGGCGCTACGCATGCTGAAATCAAGAAAGCGTATTACAAGCTGTCGAAGGTGAGTCCGTGCGATTTTGTACTGAGATTTGACGGGTAAGCTTTTATGCGTGCTCGAACATGTGTGCAGGAAACGCGCTTAATCATCCCATTATTCGGATCACTTATGTTAGTTCAGAACTTCCCACGTTTTTATTTTAATTCAAAAGATTTTCTTTTCAAGATACACCCATGTTCCCCGGTTTTGCCCCCGCATTATTCAAGCACATGTTCTGCGAAAATAAACACTTGCTATTATTTCTTTAGAAAATTTAGAGCATGTTGATTCTGATCAACCGAAGAACCAATTTGATCCAGCCTTATTTGTCAAAAACACATGGAAATAATGAGCTAGCGCTAAGAAGGCAAATATTGACAAGAAGGGCTCTCCCTAGATTTACCACCCGGATACGAAGCAAGATGATATCTCAGTGCAGAAGTTCCGCGAGATTTCAGAAGCATATCAGGTGCTTGGAAATCTGCAGTTGAGAAGATTGTACGACCGAGGGTTATTGCACACTGCCGATGGCTTTCATCACACTAGAAAGAATGCTCGCAGTGAATTTGCTGAAGTGAAACGTCATAGTCAACCAGGAACGCAGAAAGGACCCTCGAAACCTGTAAAAATGTCCGGACAGACCCGCGTGTATGATTACGACGCCTGGCAGGTAGGATATTTTGATGTCAACTTTTCTTCCCCGTCTATCATTAGCGGACACGGACATTTTTCAACGTACATAGCTATTTTAATTTTGTGTCGTTCGTTATGTTTTGTATATTTGCGTGGTTTCGATGAATTAACGCTCGACAAATTTAATGAATGGAACATAAAAAATTGGCGTAGAGGTCCGTTGATGTTTGCCGAAAAATTATATGGATTAAATTCTTATCCCATGACGCGTCTTGCGTCTTCCAAGTATTGTATGGTTATTAAAGTATAGCAGATGGAAAGAGAGCTTTCCTCACTATAGGAAAGCTCTCCATATAAATTTGAAAGCAGCATCATTTTTAAAACTCATGGATGTCCTTACTTTTTCTATTTATTTCTAGCAAGCACATTACAGTGAGTTGCGTTCGAGAAGAAGCA